AGCAGTTTATTTAGATTGAGAGAGATTAAAAACAAAGAATCTACAGTCTTGAAATACTTAATAAATTGATGAAACCTATGCTTGAAACAAGTATGGCTCTGTTGAAGATGACCTTTGAACAATAATTTATCGGAAGTTCGATAATGAAGGTAAAACTAGACCCTGTAGGCAGGGTTTACACGTGCCCTTTTTTTGTACGTGATATTGTAATTTTCAATAGTATTGAGGCCAATTCATCATGATTCATTCATGTAATTTTGTTTTGTTTTTGAGTTGTTTTTGCGAATTACATCTTAACCAGATTTTTAAGGATTAATTTTCAGTTTTCAAGGACACCAGTTACAAAGAGAAAGATACAGTTAATAAACTTACTAGTCCTGTGTCTTACCAAACGGAAAAATAAAAACATTGTAGTTTAAGAACTTTTAAATCTCTTGGAACATATTTTTTCTCAATCTCTATTTTAATATTTTAATTAAAATTTCTTTTCCGCCGTATTGCACAATAGTACAACAGACATTGCCAAAAGGATTGAAATATTATCAATTTGCTTCAAAGCTTGGCAAAATTGATTTCTAAAACATTACTTCACAACAACCAAGACTGATTCAAGGACTAAATTTACATGAAACTTCACCAAATCATTGTAAAGATGAAATATTCAAGAAACCAAGTTTATTTTTCAAGAGATATTATTCAAAGCCGGCACAAAAACTGATGTACAACTGCACTCAGAGCCATWTATTTAGCATGTAACATTGGCTACCACATAAAGTGCTTGTCTATCGATAATAATATACCACTGTAAAACTCAACTGTATGTACTTCTGCCATAGTAAACAAGGCTCACAGGATCAACAATGACTTGTTGTCAGTTCCCTACTTGCTTCGACACTGATATTTTATCTACGGAAACAACTCAACTATTGACATTTTTTGCATATGACCTTAAAGCTTGTTTGATTTCAGTGTCATGCTCTTAATCCAGTCGATGCGTTGCCGTTGCCTTACGAGTAGTAGGCATGTTGACCATATTTAACTCGCTGGTCTGCTCGTTTTCACGGCCGTTGTCGTTGCCTCACGAGTAGTAGGCGTGTCGATCTCTGTATTTGAGATCTCCTCGTCATCATAATTCAAAATACCCTTGATCCTAACACCCAGACGAGTAATGACTGCAAGAGTTTGGTGATAAACTTTCATGTTCTCTGGAATATTCGCCGGAAAAGTCAACAATAGTCAAAATGGCGGAGAAATACTACAGTGGAAAATGCGAGCTAAAGCGTTCGGAATCGTTCGGAACACACAGCGTAATTTGATTGGCCACTATAGCGTTCGGAATCGTTCGGAACCAGAGGAGGGTGATCAAGGCCCGCAAAGCAATATGGGACTAAACACGATTACAACTTCATTTGAGTTTGACCGTCGTCGAGTAAACGACTCCTGGCGGGACGCCGTAAACGTTTAAATCGTCCTACCGTCTGCTCTGTGGTCATCTTGAAGCTACAGAGCAATTCTATCTTTGTTGTTAAGAGCTCAGTGAAGAGTTTTAGTACTGATAAGAACTGCTAAATACTAGTAAACCTCTGAGTCAAGACTGCGAAGCGATCACTGACCTTGGGTTCATCATGYTTCGGCTATGTCCGGTCACGCAACACTGTTGAGTTTTGTCATTTAGTTTTTATTTATCTTTTGCTTCAAATTAAAGATATTTTTACATCATAAACTAAAATATAAGAACTTTGCTATCGATATTTATCAATGAACTGTAAATTTGGTTAGAACTTTAGCAGTAAGTTTCAATACCCAAGAGTATGAGCCGACGTGACAACAACATTGACGTAAATCTATAAAGTTGTTCATTGAAAATTCAAAATATCTCGAAAACTAGACCGGGTTCATGGGGGTTCACGCAGGGATTCTTGTTTTTGATGAGTCGAAGAATGCGYAGAAATTGAAATATATTCATTTCATCCATTAGTTCAGMAAATACAATTGGTGAAAGTTRGGGTAAAATACGCAAAATTTAGAAAGGCGCGAAAGCGTTGACTGGAAGAAAAACTTTGATAAATCCAARAGWACTGCTTAAATCATAATGAAACTTTACCCKGTYATTCTTGGGTMTTTTACCTACACGRTGCGTTAAAAATTTYAATATGAAAAGCAATWAATATCCTAAAAAATTAGTTTTTCTGACTCGACTTAGAATTCTTGTGAAAATCTCTTTGCTTCACTGTGATTGGTCAGATTGGTCACGTGACACTTGATCACCCTCCTCTGGTTCGGAACGCACAACGTAATGTGTTGATTGGAAGCCGGATATATAAATCACAATGTGATTAGCTACGAAGATGTACCGAGAGCAAACTTTCGACATTGATGAAAAAAACCATTGAAGTCTCTCTATTTTCATTTACTATTATTCTTAGAGAGTTAGTTAAATGTTCTTCAAATTTAGGATAATCTCTATTTGGTGGTCTATATATTACTCCGACTATGATGTTTTTTCCTTCTCTGTTTGTTATTTCGATAAAACATGACTCGATTATATCATCTTCATTGATACTTAGGTCATTTCTTTTTTGGAATTCAAGACATTCATTGATATATATTCCTACACCACCTCCCCTCTTATCTTTTCTGCATTGCATGAGAAAAGAGTATCCAGGAATGTCGTAATTTTGTATTGACGATTCTGGCATCCAAGTTTCTGCTATTCCGATGACATCAAACGTAAAATCTAGTGTTTTAATGTATGTAATGAAATCATCATTGATATCTGGGTCAATATCTGCAAAGATATGATTCTCATTAACCTCATTTCCATTAGGATCAAGTACGTATGTTGAATTAAAAATTTCATTTCTAAAGTTATCAATTTCTATGTCATCTAATGAACTATTAATCTCAGTTATGTGATCATGGTTTTGAAAGTGTAATGGATAATCTTTTTGTTCCTCGAAATCAGTTAGTTAAGAAAGATGTACTTATCTGAATGAAACATCTGTTGGTCCATTATAATCATTGTAATCAATAATTCCAAAGTCGACTCTTAGTTTGTTCATGTCAATTTCATTGTGTATCATGTAGACCCTTGCGTCATCGGCTTGCTTGTACTTAATCTTTCCATCTATCGACCAACTCTTCTCATTTTCTTGGATTCCCCTAATTTCTTTAATGCGACGATGTATTTCTGGAGCGAGATCTTCCTCTATCCTGTAGGGTGTATCTTTTAGGTTCCTCCTTCCTTCTCATTACGGCCTCTTTACTTTAGTGGGTCATCATCTTAACAATTATCCCACGTGAACGTCTGCTATCTTGACGTGGTTTACTAATTCTATGTCAATATCTGGCTGGGTGATGGATACATCCAATTTTTCCTTGAAGAAATTGACTACAATTTCTTCAACATTTTCTCCTTTTGTTTCCTGTATTCCAAATACTCACTCGATTTCCTGCTGTATTGCTCGTTACTTATGGCATGTTCTGGGATTTCGGCAATCTTTCAATCAAGCGTATGTCCGATGAAGTTCACCGATTTATTCACGTCATCTTCTAATTTTTTCATCCTCTTCGTTGTTTCATTGGTAATCTTTTCTTGAGCAATCTGTTTCCCAATTTCCTCTGATACTTTTTTTTCTAATTTTTGTTCAAATTCATTGTACAGTAGAACTTAGAGACGCTGTAATTTCCTCTCGTACTTTTCGAATTTCTTCAATTATTATTTCCTCCTTTTCACTTCTTTCATTTTCTTTATCCCATTTAGTAGCATCTTCCTTTACCTTCTTCTTTGGTGCGCTTTTACTACCTGGTGTTGCTGGTGATTGTAGTATTTGAGCATTTTTGTTGGCGCGCACAGCACCACATGTTTCCATGTTGTCCGCCATATTTAGTCTATTTAACCTATATCATAGGGATCGAGTTTCGAAATAGTTTCATTTTTTTCACACTTGACGTCGCAAATGTCCATGCTATGTTATAGCATTCAGTTGTGGAGCTACATGTAATAAGTAGCACTAGTTGGCAAATCATTCGAAATATGTCACAACTTTCAAAGCGATGTCCTTGAAAATCTGGCAATAATCAATCTCTCAAACCTAGTTTGGAAATGTATGGGGGTGCAAGTTATGTGATGAAAGGATTTATTTAATCCCAGAAACAGAAAATGCCCATAAGATGCATATGCAACTGTAACAAACGATTTATTAAAATTCCTACGATAAGTACAATTTTTTGTCAATCTTTTTTTGTGAACTCTTAGTTAACTAATAATGTACGAGTTTGTCCATAAGGGAGTGGGCAAAGCAGTAGTGACATCACTCAAGCAACTTGCATTTTTTTTGCAATGCTTGTTTAAAAGCCCCTCTTGTTTCATTTTTCTTTGCACCACTTAATTTGGTCATTGTGGCAAGATCTACAGGATGAAATTAAAAATATTTAATAGACTTTGAAATGGATGATGAAAGACGATGATGGCAGACGATTTGCTTGCTATCAAATTGTTTAGATCGTTTGGATCATTATAGCTAGTTGTTCTCTTATTCAATAAACTCAGGGCATGTTTTCGACCCGACACCAATGAACTCACAGTAAAGTTACTGTGATTTTTTTTAGTATGAAGTAGTTAAATTATCAAAGAAAGTTATAATATATAAACAAAGTCAAAAACACGCTATTAATTTCTTTTAGGTTTCTGTTGATAGACATCAACCTTTCTGATAGGGCTAAGACCTTAAACAATTTAACTTCTGGCAAGTACAGGACGTTGACTGAGCAAGTTGTATGCTGGATGCATACGTTTTCAACTTGCTGCAAATTCTTTTTTAACAAGAAGATTAACAAGACAAGCAACTTTTGCAAGACAAGTGTTATAATTATTAAAATAAATAATGATAATTATTATATATGTAACAAGACTTTCATAGAGTAAATGGCATAAATAAAAATCTGTCGATCTTACAGTTAAAAGAATTTCGCAACGAGGAAACAAAAGACACAAANACAACTGCATGAGTAAGCGTTGTGAGCATCTCTTTGCTGTCAGCCTTATCCACTAGCTGATTACATACTTTGAGCAAGGCATATATAGCAGACATCAAATGCCCTTGACCTTTCTGAATACTCAAGTCCAACGTTTTTGGCTCCTGTTTTAGCTGTGCCCAGAGCATGGTATTTATCTTTGGAGTTTCAAGAGTTGGGCAATTCTGAGGTTTCAGGTATTCTTTCTTCATCGTCAACTGGTCTTTTGATAATCCTTCCTTCAGTAAGCTGTTAACCAGCACCGCTAGTTTCTCGCATATTGGGTCTCCGGTCGCAGCCTCTGGATTCAATTGTTTAACTAACGTATCAAACTCTGCTACGGCTTTATCTGCATCTTTCGATGTTGAAGTTGACTCTTTAGCTGGTGTAACAACACTCTGCAATATCGCACTTAAGTCTAAGTTGTCTTCATTACCATAGTCCTCTTCAGCCTCGCTCTGGTCATTCTCTTCAACTCTGTCATTAAATGCTTCCATTGTGTCTGATACTGATTGCATTATGTCTTCTTTAAACTCAGCAAACATGCCTTTTAGCATATCCCTCATCTCACTRTGAAGGGATTGCTCCTCTACAGGCTCCGAATCTCTTTCGTTTCCTGACATCCCTAAAAATKTATAATGCCAGCCTCATTAGTGTGTTTACACAGAGAATACAATAGAATGCATTGCTCTTCRCGTATCAGATTTGCATACATTTGCATTCCGACTAACACTTGATAGTCAATAAATTTTTTCAGATTTTGTTCACCTCGTTTATTCCTATTTTTATCTAAATTGATAAAGCAATACTAACGCTAAACCTTTAAATATTTCAATTTCAATTGTGGTGAACATTCTAAGTTTTAGCATTTTATTCTTTATGGACTCCACGCTGTTGTCCACTTAACGCTTTATCCTCTCTTACTGAATAAGCGTGTTTTAGCTCACAAACGACTACCTACGAGGGATTAAGTCGTTTCATTCATAGTATTCATTCAAAAACCGGTTTCATGGCAGCGCGTACCAGAAACAGTGAGCTTTCAAGCGACTACCACTCAGGTACAATCGCTAGTTTCCCAGCCATGCCGTGGAAACTTTGTTTATAGTCTACTGACAGGACACATCCTAGTCAGGCGACTGTAAATGAAAATAAATACCGAAAACATAAACTTTATCTTACCTTATATGATTCAAAACTTGAAGTTTCCCTCTTCAAAAATCAATAAATCCTCTCTTGTCACGGCCAACACATGCACTGAGTCACGGCGGTATGTGCGCATCTCATGGTAACCCGGATGTACGTAATGATTTGATAGAACTCCCTCGCCACAACAGTCTCAGAATACATCAGGTGAAGCTCCTAGGTGGGGCCATTTTGGATTTATCTGCAAACCACTATCTGCAACAGTTAAATTGTTGTGCTGCTCTCTCATGGATTTGACATAGTCCTCCCTTGCTGATTTTTCATGATTGCATCCCCATTTAGAATATGAAATAAAAAGCAAAACATTAATTTTATATGTAATATATACAATATGAGCGGGCGATCTGTATGAGGATTTAAAACAGCGAGCTGAAAGCGAGATGTTTTAAACCTCATACAGATCGCGCGCGAATATTGTATATTACTTATGAAACGTTGAGGTAAACTAGCTCAGATTTTAAAGAAACTTTTGAAAAAAAAATCAATCTGACCGAGAAAATCAGAGTTAAAGTTTATGCAAATGAACAAGAAATCTGTATGTAATATACAACTCTCTTCATGGGCTATGATTTCTATTGTGTTTTGCCTTATGAATATTAATGAGTTTAATAATGTTTTTTTAAAACACCATTCTCAGTAATAATATTTTACATTGCTCTGAATATGAGATATTTTGAGTGAGCAAGCATTACCTTGTGGCAGCAGTAGAGAATTGATGGGCTTCTGGGTAACAGATCTGTTTGATTAAACTTTTTGACGGTGCAGTTGGGTTTGTATGGCAAGCAGCCCGTAACTTGGATGCAGTAATTCTGCCAGCTTTTTGATCTGATCTCTTGATTCCTTCTCAATTGCCTTACATTCATCCTCTGTCAATGCAATTACTGTTCTTTCTGCCAAAGCAAAAAGTTCCTCTCCAGACAGCTGCTGATATTCTGCCTTGAACAATGATGTCAGTGGAAAAGGCAAGTGGCACATATCACTTGGGACATATTTATCACTATACTCTGGCAYCAGAGACAAGATAGCTGGCCTAGTCCCAGACACTGATAGTTCTTGAAAGAACTTTGCAATTTCAGCTTCGCTGTTTTTTTGTTTTAGCTGTGCTGCAGGCTTATCTCTTAAAGTGGTCGGTGTGACATTTTCTTCATGCAGCAGATTAAACTTTTTCTTTGCAGAAGTGAAGTCCATTTCGTTGACTGGCTTGTATGGGATCTACAGAAAAATATTAGTGATATCAATATACTACAATCATGGTCATTTTACTTGGTACAAAATGCCTGCGGGAGCGTTTTTTATGCTAAGTATTTGTTTTATATTCTTTTCTTCCCCCCTTCCCCCTRATCAATGTTGAAAGAGGTGTTAAGGTGTTGTGTGTGGACAGTCCAACCGGTAAGGGGACTCACAACATTGAATGTGGGGGTACGGGGGGAGTAAGGGGGGCCGAAATATAAAGAATTCTGATGCATAGTGTAAATCTATGTTAAAATACATAGGTGTCCCTAAATAATTTGTCCATGATTGTCTGTGAAACCTATATACATGGAAACAAGGGAAATACGTATGATAACTGTAAGAGATTGTATTTAGAAGTGCACAAAGCATTTTGGGTAATTGTTGTTATCATATTGGGATGCCTGTGCCATATAAATGACGTCACAAACAAAATTACATTCATCGCTTGCCGAACATGCGTCGTAAAATAACGCCTCTTCAAAAAGCTTATGCTTTAGTGCAATTGGAAACCGGGAATTACAG